CTAAGGTATAACAGTCCAACTTAATAAACTTAAAAAAAAATGCTAAAATTGGTGCAAATATAAATAAAATTACATCAGCATTACTTGGTAAAATAGTTTCTTTTACAAATAATTTAAGACCATCAGCTAACGGTTGTAATAATCCAAAAGTACCTACAACATTAGGTCCTCTTCTTCTTTGAATAGAAGCTAATACTTTACGTTCAACTAAAGTAAAATAAGACACAGCAATTAATAAAGGTAATACTAAAATTAAAAATTAGTATGCGAGATTCATTCAAGATTTAATGAACGGATGCCTGACCCCGCTGTCCCACTAATTTTGTGCTATCTGTCTTGTAGATATTCAGGGCGCGCTCTAATACCAGCGTGGCAGAGCGCAATGCCAGGATTGACAAGTCACAGTCAAAAGCAGCTAAAATACCAGCATCGTGGGAACAGTATTCGAGGACGTTCGTTTGTACGCACTCAGGGAAGTACAAGTCTGTAGCTACGAAGCGGCCACGCCAAGAGACTCGAGCACAGGGCTGCAAGGCGCAGGTACATATATGTCGGCCTGGTCGGGACTAATCGGGTCCAGTCGGGGTCATTCGGGTAGTTCACTGACTGACAGTGGTTATATATGCTCTACAGATTAATGTCTGCGTCCAGGTAGTTGATACAAAGAATACGACGTTTGCTGTGCGGATCACTCGTTGCCGACTAGAGCACAATCATCGTCTGACAGGCCTGGCTTTCTCTTCACATCCATCGAAACGCATTATCCTCGACGAGTCAACGCTAACTACAGTTGATCTACTTCGAAAAAAAGGTGTCAAGAAGTCTGGTATCATCAGCCACCTAATGAAGCACACCGACAGTAACCCCACCCCAAAAGATGTGCAAAACCTCGTCCAGAAACTACAGGCTCGCGAACAACGCGATGGGCCTTCAAGCACTGACAAGCGGCTTAAGAAGTGGATGAAGCAATTTGGTGATGTGCCAGGGAACGTTGGTCGGGTTTTCTTGGACGACGTTGGTGGCAAGGTAGAGTGAATGCTTTTATCAGGTCTAATGTCAATTCATGAAGTTAACATTTGTTGTTTTGTGTGCTATTGGATACGCAGAAAGTTGCGACTTGCATCAAATTGCAAACAAAGCACATGCGAACACTATTCGACCAAATTCCTGAAGTTCTGATGATTGACGCAACGCACGGGACGAACCGGTCTAAGTATAAAGTTTTTTCATTCATGGCACACGATGCGTTCGGCAAGGGCAAGTTTGTGCAGCACGCGCTGCTTCAAAATGAGCGCTATGAAACCCTGTTGACAGCGATAGAGGAATTCAAAGCGAACAATCCTGCGTGGTCAAGACTTCAATGTGTGCTGGTGGATAAGGATTTCACAGAACTTTCCGTACTTGAAAAGGCATTTCCAGGGGTGACAGTCTTACTTTGCCAATTCCACGTGCTGAAGTACCTACGGGAAGAGATTGCTTCAGCTGACTACGGATTTTCGAGGTCTCAGAAAGAGCAACTGGGCGGTGTTGTGAGCTTACTTGTCTACGCAAAAACGGAAGCAGAGTACGACAAACGCTTCCAGTACATGGTGCATCTTGCGTCGATTGGTTATGCCGGTCCAGTTGCGAATGATCGATCTGGTATCGTAATCGGTGTGGAGTCGGGCTCAGTCGGTGTGGAGTCGGGCTCAGTCGGTGTGGAGTCGGGCTCAGTCGGTGTAGAAGTCACAGATCATGAACTGGAAGACATTTCTTCTCGCATTGATGAACATCCTTTTGTGAAGTACTTTCGAAAGAATTGGGACAGCTGTCGTGAGCTCTGGTGTGCACATAGGCGCCAGAATACCGTCACACTCGGCAATAATACCAACAATCGCCTAGAAGCCTCTTGGAAGCAGCTTAAAGAGTGGGTGGATTCGTTTATGGGAGTGGATGAGTGCATCGCTTCGACCATGTACTATCAAACGTTACAAGAGCGATTGTTCATTGCAGAAGTATACAAGAATGTGACCGTCCAGCATCCTGATTACGACAGCGAGATGACACTGGTGGCGAATATTGTCAGTGAGCATGCTTGTGAACTTATATTCGGGCAGTATTCGTATGCTATTGGATCTGCGTCGTACACGTTTTATGAGGGGTGCCCAGACGTGTATTTTATCAAGAGTATATCTACAGCTGATGACGCGCTGGACGAGATGAACGCCGAGTATTCAGTTACTAAGCGCGAATGGAAGTGCTCCTGTCTATTCATGTGCACGAGATTGCTACCCTGTCGACACGTTTTCTACCTCCGAAAGGCTCTTGGTCAGTCAGGAGACAGTCATTCCCACACTACTGTTAAACAGGCGGTGGCTGTTGTTTACTGTGCGTGCGGCGATTGAAAATTCAAGTGTCGTCTCCGACACAGCGGAGCCAAAGTCTTTTGAGGTAAAAAATGTGATATCCTCACAGGCGAGACCGTGGGACTCGAACCGCAGATATCGTGAAGCACTGCAATTTGCATCCCAAATTTGTGACACCATGGCGGGACTCGGCATGACGCAGTATAAAGAAGCGTTGTAGTATCTCCGCAGTGCTACTGGCCGTCGTTTTACAGAGTAAATTCGAGGATCCCGGTGTGCCAATTTTACCACCAGCTGAATCTGAGGGTCACGGTTCGACTAGCAACTTGCGCGATGATGCGCTGTCGCCGCCACTACTTACTGGTCACGATCCGACTGCACGGCCGACTCACCACGTGTCGACAGAACTGCTTACTCGTCATGCGGATACAGTAAATGTGAGTCATGTAATCCCAACTGTCTCTGAGTCTGACCATGCCACAAGCTTCAACTCCGTCGAAACAACACAGGTTGCAGATTTATCGGTCCAGTCGGTCTCGATCGGAGGCCAATCGGGCTCAATCGGGGGCATATCAGGTCCAGTCGAGGAAGAATCGGGTCCAGTCGGGGAAGAATTGGATACAGTCGGGAAAGAATTGGATACAGTCGGGGACGTTGAATTAAGCACACTACCACCAGCAACGGAGGACACGCCATTTGTGATAGCGAGTCCTCCAAGATCGCGAGGACGACCAAGACAGACAGCCAGATCAAAGAAGGCAGCTCGTAAAAAAACTGTCATTGTAGCTCAAGAAGACTCAGAGCTGTACGCTTCGAATTTAAGCTTGGCGTCCGTGGATGCAGCGCTATCTTCGGATGCAACATACATATCGTCAGCTGCAGTTGTGAACAAGTTCAAAATGGTGGAGTATGGCTTCAAGTTCAAGACACCTACAGCACGAACAATATCGAGCTTGCCACCCACAATCGCTTTGATACCAGCAGAGTCGATCACGCGGATATTGCGCCCTGAACAAATTGCCATTTGCAGGAAAAAAGTTTCGGCTCTGCAGTCGAAGCACAAAGGCCTAGCAGAAAGTGCCGTGGCGCTGGATATTCCAGGCTTTGGTGCGTACTCAACGAGTACAATTGGGATCATGAATAGGTGGCACAGGGCAATAAAGGTGGTAAAACAGGTCGAGAAGGCTGTGAAGTGGGTCGAAACCATTGACTTCACACTCCCAATGCCTGCTCCGTTTCAAGTGGTGCTACAGACGGATATGCTGTCAAAGATGCAGTCAATCCCGCTTTTGTCTGCAAAGGTACGTCGACGAAATCATGCCATCACTACAACACTTCCTAAATAAACGTTATGTTTGACAAACAGGCAGAAATTCTAGATCTCGTCGGGTAAAACAGCTAAGCGACGATACCATGAATATCGTCATGTCCAAGCTGTTCGGAGAACGAAATGATGTCGTCATTGTAGATCCAGGTATTATCGGTTCCATTGATAATGAAGATAGTCCTGTCAATACCAGAGCCTTCGCTTCAATTTTCGCGGGCAAGACGAACGAGAAAATTCTGATCCCTATATGCTGCAGCAACACGCATTGGTGCTGCGTAATGGTGAACTTAAATCTGAATGATGTGTGCATTTACGACCCAATGAGCTCGAGCTATGTCGTTAGAGTTCGAGCGATCGCAGAAAAGCTGGCAATGCAACTGCCAAACTACGCACCAAGGAAATACCGAGTACACCACTACATGGGCGATCTAGGGGTACAAGTAGATTCATACAATTGTGGTATGTATGTTCTGCTAGCGTTTGAGGTATTCGCTGGTGCCCAAGGTCTGTGCATGCTGAGTAGGAAGGAGTTACAGTATCTGCGCTACAGATATATATATATGTGTCTATAGTTAACTTTTTCAACAAGTTGATTTTGATTCTGCACTTACCAGTCCCACTGAGCTCTACTGATTAAAGTTTCTCATGCTCAAGACATGATGCCGGTCGTACTTGCACGCTCAAACCACAAAGTCTTCACATCCGGATATACGTATACGGACGCTTGATTGCTCAACTGACTTATTTGTGTCGGGCATGGTCGGGCATTGATCGGGTGCTGTCGGGCACCATTAGCTCTCTTCCACACCAGTCGGGTTGAATAGCAAGTGCCTTGAAAAAAAAGAAAAGGTGGCTGCTCTCAATAGTAGCCCGCTCCTTATAAAGACAAACTTTTATGGATAATAACCTGTAGAACATAGTCGTCTCATTTGCCTCTATTTAAATATACTCGTGACCCAGCCATCTGCTGTTTCTTTACCCTTTGCAATGCTTTCGCAGCGCAACTCCTTCCTGGCTGCGCATGCTGCAGCTCTGGACAGTCCAACGATTTCCTCACGCGTCCTCCACTTGAAGAGACACGACTGCCTGAAAGATGTTGCGATCCCATCTCAGTCACTGGCTGCGAATCACGGTCTACCTTCGGGTGAACCGCTGGACGGACTGGGCACTGCTGGCAACGGCCATTTTGGGCTATGGAGTTGTCATCCGACTATGGACGCTGCCTGTGGTGCTGGACAAGTGGGCCAATGCCTGGCAACAGACGTGGTGGGTGGCGCTGCTCGGACTGCTGCTTGGCGCTATGGAGGACCTCTGCGTCTGCGTTGTTATGCTCACAGTGCTCTGGACCTTCGACTACCTCACACTTAAGTCCCCGGCGAGGCGTCGTAAGCTGGCACATCGACGTAGAGAGACGCGAAAAGCGGCTCTTGCTGCCCAGAACGCTGACGTGGAGCAAGGGTTACAGAGCTACACAGACGACACGGCCGCTCCAGCGTGGACGGAAGCTGTGGTGCTCACAGAACAGTTTGGACGCTTGACGGTGTATGCGGTAGTATTTCTACTAGCGACTGGTGGCCTGTGTTTGGACTCGGTGTTCCTACGTGCTCGTAAGATGCGGTTCTCGGCGGACTTTGTAGCCATGTACTTTCGCGAGTGGGATGCTGCTGGTGAGCTGGAGATTGATGCTGCCGAATGGTGGGTGCTCTTCTGGACATTGCTGCTGACGGTTGGGTTAGCACTATTTGTCGGTTTGCTTGGAGCTTGCTGGATCAACCTCCTGGACTGGAATGTACTGGGGTTCGTAAATCACAGCTGATTATACCAACAATGTGTCACTGTAGGGGCTGCAGCGAGCAACTACGAGCGCTTACACAGCGACAAGAATGATGACGATGACTCATCTGGCGACTCGGACGACTCGGATGAAAGCGATGATGACGACGACGACGATTGTTCCTGTCTACGAGATGTATCGTGTCGATTAACCCCACGAGGAGTGCTGCTCCTGTTAGTCGTGGCTTTGTTCTTAGCTACGTACAAGTTGGCAACGACATTGCCGACTGTAGTGGGGCTGATCGCACTAAATCCAGTGCTTAGCGAGCCTATCCGGTTGAGTGCTGGCGTGCAGTTTGTGGCAGAGCGGACATCTAACTCCATCAGCAACCGACCAATGAGTACGTTCATCGAGCAAGAGACCGAGCTGTCCCAGATCTTCGACGACGACTCACTGTACCGCCGTACGTTGGCTTTCGACGGTCCGTTGGCATTTGACATTAAAGTTGGACGTGATGAGCGGCCCAATGTGCTGTTGCTAGTGATGGAGTCGTTCCGGATGCAAGACTCGCGATTTCTGCTGGATAGTGCGCTGGAGCAAGAGGTGGAGGCTGCAACTTCGTCATTGTTACCGCCAAATGTGACGCTAACGCCCAACTTTGACCGATGGGCGTCTCGAGGTGTAGCGTTGCGAAACTTGTGGTCCACTTGGCGAACTAGTCGCTCTATTGAGACTCTCCTCTTCGGGCAAATGCCGTACGACAGTGTGACTGAAACGGGCACAACCTCTGGCCGTCTGGACACGAACCTTACGGGCTTGCCACAACTTTTTAAAGCGAAAGGCTACGACACCATCTTCACCACAGGTACGCGCACAGACTACGATTACTGGGACACATTTCTACCTGCGCACGGGTTCGATACAGTACTAGACCGCTGGGGGCTCGTGGACATTGTGGAGAACGACCTAAACCTCAATGACTGGTCTCAGGGCAACCACATGCTCACTTATTGGGGAATTCACGACGATCTGTCGTACACGGCGCTTTCCTATATCATTCGAAGCCGACAGTTTGCTCAAAATGTAGCCAAGCAGCAAGCAGAGCGTGACGCAGCAGCTGCCAAGAGGAAAACGCCTAGCAATGAGACGGAGAAGCCTCTCCCCATTACCACAGCGTCGACGAACCCGTGGTTTGCAACGCATTACACGATTTCAAGCCACGTGCCGTTCAACGAGCGTCCTGACTGGTTTTTCCGTTATGTGACCGAGCATCGAGCTGAGATGGAGGAATTTGCCCCACTGTACAGAGGCCACGAGCACGAAGAGCTTATCCGCGACTACGTTCAGATGCGCTACTTCTCAGACATGGTGTTTGGTCGATTCATGGAGCAGCTGGAGAAAGACAATGTGTTGAAGGATACCATCGTTGTGGTAGTAGGAGACCACGGCCAGGCTCCTGAGCGTGGTAGCGCAACACCAGAGCAGGACCAGATCGCCACATCTCGAATTGCAGGCGCTATCATCGCCGAGGGCCGGATACAGACCCCAGTGGTGATTGACGATGCAGCCTCACAGTCGGATATTTTGAACACATTGGCGGACATTGTGGGGCTACCTGTGGGAGGTTTACTGCAGACTAGCATCGGCCGTTCATTGAAGCGTAAACCGCCCAAGAGTGTCGGTAAACGGGTGGTCTATAGCAACAATCCGGCTACAAATCTCGCTGCGGTGGTGGGTGATATTCGCCTCCACTTCTTTGCTGAGGGATCGGATGCTGTACGAGCTTATCACACGCAGCGTGACCCGCGTCAGGAGCATGATCTTATGGGCGAACTCTCGGGCGAGCGCGTACGAGAGCTTCTGCGGATTTGTGACGACGGCCGCGCACTAAACGCGTACTTCAAACTCCGCTGGGACAACAAGTGTTTACTGCGGCCAACGTGCGAGCCGCGGCAGTAGGTGACGGCCAGCCAGCCTAAACAAGTCGATCCTGCAGCAGTGCGATTAATAGAAGACACTTCATGTACACCATAAGGCTTACGTTTGAGTCACATTGCAACGGTGACTTTCTACTCTGATGTCAGTACTTGCGTATAGCAATAGCGACGCCAAACTCACTCTAACTCGGTAGCCACGTGAAATGCCATTTCAAGCTCAAAAGCACTTGTTTACTCAGTTCAACTCTACGGCCACACACTTAACTGGATACGTACCGCAAGCCATTTTAAAGAATGATATTATATTGTGCAATTCAATGCTTTTGTCCTTTTCACTCAACCTGATGCTCGATTTATATTTAATAGAGGTCGTTTTATTAATCGAGGTATTTAAAAAGGACAAATCGATCTAGCTAGACTCGCTGATACATGTAAATGGAGCTACGGCAGTCAAATCGACCGCTCGACATCGATCAACCACCAAATCCACATCGATATCGTGTAAATTGACCCTTTTTGCCGATTTGAAATGGTAATTCGATCACAGATAAAACAAATCGATGCCTGCCTCTTCCCATCTCATTTTTACGCGTGGTTTTATGCTCCGACCATGCTCGATCTAGGCTATAAATCGGATGGACATTAAGTACTGAACGATCATTCTCCGTAATGAAGCGCGTAAAACATCGACTACGACTTCTGTGAGATGCTATGTTGCTACTGTGAGATGCTACTTGCTACGGTCTGCCAGTGCCAGACGTCATTGCCACACTGGCAATACCAGTACTACCGATCCAACCTACAATCCTACGCGTGTCTATGCATGTACTGCATCCCGGCGTACCGGTCTGCAACGCGCTCACGTGCGAGCGGCGTGCGGAAGATACCAAGGACTGTATGAAGGACGACATTGGTGGCGGTGAGCTACTGCAACTGCGTTGCAGGTGATGGTGAACTACTTAGCTTTCTATAGATATCTTAGACTGAGTATGTGCTAATCTAACTTTGCGGAACATGGAGGTTCAGGTGCTGGCAGCTCTCACTCTCACAACTGCTTTTGCTGTGCTGCGTGCACAACGAGTGAGAGGCAGCAAGCACCAGAGCTCCGTGGTCCTGTCGTGGTACTTTGCCCGGCACTCACGTGTCTTACATTCTACTCCTACTTGCTCTACACCTACTGCCCTACAAGTCTGTGCTTATGGCACCTACGTTACGTAGTGATAGAAGGTCGGAGAGCCCGGTGACGCGCCATGCGTCATCGCAGGTTATGAGCCCAATCAGGGCGCAGCGATCGACTGACGTGGACTCTGGTGTGGAAAACACACAAGAAGAAGTTTTGACGAATCAAGGAGAAGATTCCCCGGGTTTGGTCGAAAGACTGAATGGCCCGTGCAGCGGGGCTGCCGTAGCTTTAGCGTCAGAGGAAGACGTTCGACTCAAAGAGTCACTAATACTAAGTTCCTTATCCAAAGGACACTTACAGCCCAAGACCAGGGCTCAAAGTTAACACCTTAACTTTTATGCTTCAAAACCAGAAGTGTTTTATTTACTATTATTGCGGCCAAGCCGCCTAGGGGTAAATGTATCTCTTTAACTATCTAGCATAGTTAAACCTAATCAAATGCATAACGTGTGGCTTTCAGCCAACGTACTGAGAGACCTTGTTAACTCTCCAACTTATGTACTGAGAGTTTGTTAACTCTCCGGGTACTTCGTACCCCTGTGTGCTCCACACCATGTAACCCCGTTACACTCTCCCCCACTAAGATGAGAACATTCCGTTCTCGAAACTCTCCTCAGCGAGGTCACGTCTTGTTAAGACGGCGGAGGTTGCTACACCTCACACCAGCGTTGTACAGCTCCGTGAGCTCACAAACGCCTACGCATCGTTGATGCCCAACTTCTCGTCGTCGGCCCACGGCCCAATGCTCCAAGCGCAGCGCGCATCTTGCTCTCAAGCGGTCTCAGACCTACGCTCGCGCTCCGCGCCTACTCCAAGAGCTGCAAACCGCTTAGAGCAATGCTCTTGACTCATTCGAGTCGTCGACAACAGCTCAGCGGTTGAACACTCGCTTCACAAGCGATAGGTCGGTGGTTCAAACCCACTAGGGCACAGCCCTCTCGTTCCATGAACGATTGTTCACGCTTGGACAAGCTTAAGGGCAACACCCTTTTAGCTCAATGGTTGAGCGTTGGCTTTGAGAGCCACAGGTCGGTGGTTCGAGCCCACCAGGGCACAGCCCTGTCGTTCCATGAACGATTGTTCACGCTTGGACAAGCTTAAGAGCAATCCGCTTTTAGCTCAGTGGTCGAGCGTTGGCTTTGGAAGCCACAGGTCGGTGGTTCGAACCCGCCAGGGCACAGCCCTCTCGTTCCATGAACTGTTGTCCTTGAATGGACAAGCTTAAGGGCAACGCCCTTTCAGCTCAGTGGTCGAGCGCTGGCTTTGAAAGCCACAGGTCGGTGGTTCAAATCCACCCGGGCGCAGCCCTCTCATACCATGAGTAGTCCGTTCTCGGACTGACGTACGGGCATCGCCCTTGTAGCTCAATGGTAGAGCTCCGGCCTGTCAAGCCAAAGGTTAGTGGTTCGATCCCCGTGCGGGACACCACTTTCGCTGTTACAGCGCATCCACATTTGGATCATGCTCATCGAGCAAGTTGTTTCAAAACAACTATGCGTCTATCGAGACGCTTGTGCCTGAACCTTGTTCAGCACAACACGAAGCACCTGCTTCATTCGGGACCATGTCCCTAACACTACGAGGTCTCTCCACCTCCTGCTCCCGCTGCGAGCACCGCTCATACGTACGAGCTGGCTGCTGCAGCCACTGGTCAGAGCCTGAGCTCAACTACTGACCTCATCGCTCCCCACTCTAGTGGGAGGCGCCCAGCGCCTGGCGACGCTGTCGCACGCCATGGTGGCGCTTCGGCACATGATGTGCCCGGTCGTAAGCGTCAACGACGTCAGGGCAATCTTGCCGGAGGATAACCTCAAACTCCCATGAGTTCTGTGAGTGAGGGTAACCCCTCCACTTCACTAAGTACTGGGTACGACCCTGGCGTCTACGCCACGCCACAAGGCGTTCCACGTGAAAGTGGAGCTCACCATGCTCATCGAGCAGAGCAGGAGGAGGCCTTGCCTCAGCTGGGCTCTCGCGGGGAGAGTCAGCACTTGCCGGAACGGCGTCTGCGTCCATACGACGCCGGCGTCCACGACGCGAGCGTTCACCGCCCATCGGTCGATCTCGAAGAGATGATCCACCTTGTGGATAGGTTAGAGCCACCACTGTTGACTCACAACCAGGTCTCGGACCTTGAGCGTCCAGCTGCTCGGCTGAACGTTCAGCTTGCCTTGCTCCTGCATCTCGAGCACTTCGCTCCGCGACCTGTGGCTCTGCCACATGCTGTTGATCAGCCATCTGTGGATCCACCACTTGCTGTCGTTCAGCCTCCCGTGGCTCTACCACCTGCTGCCCTGCAGCTGTCCGTGGCCCAGCCACCGTTGGTGCCAACGCCTCCGCGCTCACCTGAGCAGGGTCTTGGTATGGCTTAAGCAAGCCGACATAGAAGACCGGATGCGTGCGCATCTTCTTCGGAAGGTTGAGCGTATACGCTAGGCCCTTCCTGGCCACGACCTTGAACGGTCCTATGAACCGAGGTCTTAACTTCGTCTTGAAGACTGCAGACACTGCATGAGTAGGTAGGTTTTTAGCGTTTAATAAAACTTGGTCTCCGACCTTAAACCTTTCTTCATTGCGTCTGCCTTTGGCATCTGCATGTTCTTTTTGCATGTCTTGGCTTTCAGCCATAGCGTCGCGTACTTGACGCATTACGCTTAGTCTCAAAGAGACAAAGTCATTGACTTGCTTGCGAGCCGCAACAGGGCTGACATCAGCTAGCCGCTCGGCTATCCCTCCCCCATCAAGCCCTGAGCCACTGCGTGGCAGCGTCAGTGGTACGCGAGGGTTAACCAAGCCGTTCACATAGAACGGAGTGTAGCCTGTCGAGGCGTGCACTGCATTATTTAATGCGAACTCAACGAGTGGGAGCATCTGGCTCCAGCGTTTTGGCGCCTCAGCGCATACACTTCGGAGGATATCTTCCACAACGCGATTAACGCGTTCGGTTTGACCATCGGTCTGCGGATGGCCCGCTGTGGACATGTCCAAACGAGTGCCAAGCACTCTGAAGTGGGACGTCCTGAACTTCGCGGTGAAGCGCGGGTCTCGATCCGAGACAATTGTCTCAGGCAAGCCAGGTTGGCGAAAGACTCGGTCTAAAAACAGCAAAGCTGTACCTTCACCATCTATGGTGTCCGGCACCGCCGCTAGATGAGCCATCTTGCTCAATCGGTCTACAAAGACCACAATACCCGTGCTTCCTGCCTCGTCCTTGGGAAGGCCAAACACAAAGTCCATACTCATGGACTGCCAACATCCCTTGGGGACAGGCAAACTCGCCAATGGCGCTGCCGTGCTCGGCGCGGACTTTGTCCGTTGACACGTCTCACACGTGCGTACATAGGTGCCGACCCACTTATACATCTTGGGCCACCAGTACATCGAGCTCACCGAGCCATAGGTCTTCTCCCGACCTAAGTGCCCGCCCACGGGCGTATCATGAACCTCATAGAGGATTCGATACTTTAGATCCTCATCATGAGGAACGACTACACGAGGGTTATCCTCAGCGTCGGTGCTGTAGTACAGCAGGCCGCCATCGAGTGAGTATCGATGCAGCCTCGCGCGTAAGCGCCCAGACAATTCCTTGTCAGAGTCTTTAAACTCTTCGCTCCCAAGAGCCCGTAGCAGCGCTACGCACATGTCGTCTTGTGCATACGCTCCGCGTATCAAGTCAGGCACTGACGACGTCACTGTCGTGACATGAGCTAACTCGTAGTCCGGCCTGCGCGAGAGCGCATCGGCCACTACATTAAGCCGCCCCGGCTTGTACTTCACCTCGAAGTTATACTCGGCAAAGAAGGAAAGCCATCTTGCCATTCTCTGAGAGAGATGAGGCG